GAGAGAGAGAGAGAGAGAGAGAGAGAGAGAGAGAGAGAGAGAGAGAGAGAGAGAGAGAGAGAGAGAGAGAGAGAGAGAGAGAGAGAGATATGAGGATGATGATGTGAGGGCTCATACCTGGTATTGGCGATGGTCTGCATTGGGCAACATCTTCAAGTACTTCAGCGGCTGCTGACGTCAACAGTTGCATTGTCAATTCATAGGCAGATAGTATCTGTGTGGGAGTAATCTGGGCGCCGAGCGCCGAGTAGGGGGAAGGGCCTGGACTCTTATGTTTGTGAAGACGAGAGTAAGCTCTCATTGACATTCGGTTTCAGTGTTACAATTCTCCATTGGTGTATTATTGGTGCAATGATACTTTCTGGACACTGTGGGACTTTCTGGCTTTCAATGTGATTGTGCTTTCTGGATTCTGTCATCTTGCTATTGCTCATTTTCCTTGCATGGGGGAGAAAGAAAGGAAAAAAAAAAGAGGGTATTCTTTGCCAAATTTGGTGTGTGTGTGTGTGTGCTTAACTGCAGTAACTGTGCAGTTACATATTTGCATGCTAACTGAGACCTGCCTTTCCTCGTCATGTGTGCAAATTTGCATGCTTCTCATATTTGCGTGCTTAACTGAGTGGACGAGGCAGAAGGGCGATGCTGTGAAGCCGAAAGGCGGCTGCAGTTCTATGTATTCATTGTATTGGCACATTATGTCCTCCATGAGAGTAAAGCCTCACATGGTGTGCTTTCTTGTCTACTTGAGGTGTGCTACTTACTTCTTGAAGTGTTTCAATTTTTTTCACATGTTCCCCCCCTGTCCTCGCCTCGGGATAAATCTTTCCTTACCTTGCAGGATGGACAAACAAGTGAGGCCTCGTAGTGCTCCAACAGGCACTTGTCACATTTCTTCATATTGAGAGCTTGCTCCACCTGTAAGGATGTCAAACAGGCAACAGCGAAAAAACAGTTCCATAAAACTGGGAGAAAAGAGAAGACCATAGGAAGCAAATGAAGATTATCCCCTTCCAATTTGGCAAATCAATGCTTGTGCCAAGGGGTCAACCCATTACCACATCAGCAGTGAGTTTCCACAGCCGTATTGCAACGAACCAACTCAGATTCACACCGAAAGTTCACTGGAAACTCGCACAACACCAGCGAGATGGCACTTAGACCAAACCAAAACGATTATCCTCCAAAGCATCAGAATTATACAAGTTTCAGGTATATACTACAAGCTGTTATGGTCGCTATCGCCTTTTCAACCACACAGGTATTTTTTTTGCTCACTCAGTTCGCTCTCTCTCACTCTCATCACTTCTATCTCTCTCGCTCTTTATCCTTGGACCGCTCATACTCGCTGTCTGAATGCACTCGCAACTTCTCTCACCCCCTTCTCTCTCCTACCCTACTGCTATTGATGTCATGTTCCTCCCCTGCAACCCCAGCTACAGCGCCCGGCCGCCCTTTTTCTTCCTTAACACCCGACTGCCCAACTCACTTGGTTGCACAACGCTACAGCAAAGCTTCCGCAACATGCAAATTGACAAGTGACCCGATGGAAGCACTGTAGCATCTATAAATATCAGCTGAAGTGATATCTTTGTCGGCTTCAGACTGGTCCCGACCACTGTGACCTGTCGGCTGCACTCTGCCAGTTCCAGAACCTACAGGACTTTCCCAGGATGCTGCTGCAAAATTGGACTTGGGACTTTGGGACATTTCTCGCCAGGTACCGGGCCTATGATTTTTAACCACCCTATGACAATTTACCTACCGGAGCCTAGTTGGTGTACGGACTACAAACCATTGTTTCAGCCGCTGGGCCTGCAGACTTGTGAGACTGGGACCATTCGGGACTCGGGACTGGGGCTTGGGACACAGCGTGAAATCCTTTCACTCACTGGGCTAATTTTGAGTTCCTCCAAGAAAGATCCAATCTTTGACCTATCTGTGACGTTGATTCCCATCTTTGCTCTCTCGTAGTAGGACACAATGTTGTTGTTTTTTTGTTTTGTTTTGTTTTTAAAGCACCGTTCTATTCATGGGGAGCAGCACGTGCCAGGAACCAGGCCCAGCGTCCCATATAAGATTTGCATAAGATTAATATGAACATTTGATGGTACTTTTGGAAGATGCCAAAGCCGTTACCCAGCTTCGGTTGAGAAGAAGATGAGAAAAAATATGAAAAATTATGAACTACACCAAACCTTTTTTTTTGTTTTTTTTTTTAACAATCCGCCCGTGACAACAGGGAGGAGTGATGGTAAGAGCATACACTCCTACCTGTCTGGGGGCTCCAGTTTATTGGCGGGGAGCTGTCACCTGCTGGAAAACGGGTCCATCATCCCCTGAGATACAATATTCTGATTATGGATCAGCATGTGCTGGGAACTGGGCCCAGCGTCCCTCCAGAGACTACTGATGATACCAAAAGTGATGATGATGATGAAGAAGATGATGATGATAATGATGATGCAGTTGAAATCAGATATTCTATGTCAACAAGATAGACTACCACAGCAAAACAGTCCTCACTCTCCCTGACCAAAACCTAGCCTCCCCACTACGAGTCATTAACATTCCAAAGACAAGATCATCCTATGGCTGTCATGTCCTTACTGCTAAGACTACCCCTGGCCCCTTAGGATGCCTCAGCAGCCCCCCTCAGCTCACCATTGGATGGCCTTCCTCCCTCAGCACATCCCCAGATCTCTCTACCAGGCCTCACGCTCCTGTTTGAAACAGGTTACAGGGCAATAAGCCCCAGCACCGGCCATCGCCGTTCTGGCCTCGGCAAGCCAAGAGAATAGAACCCCAACACCCAGCAAAGAACCAGTCAGGATTCAATCACCTCTGAAATCTCGCAACCAATACACAGGAACACCAGATGTCGCCCAAGAAGTCTGGAAACAAGAATTGCATGTTGAAGCCTGATCAGTAATCTGCTATGTCTGTCCTCGATCTTTAAAGACAGCTGTCTGTCTCCCAGTTACAAACATAGCACTGTCAGTGACACAGATCATCAAAAAAGATAGTCAATCTCCCTCCCCTCTCCTCCCTTCCAACCTGCCCCGTCGCTGCCTCTGCCGAAAAGGACTATCTATGTTATAGACTTTCCACATCGACCCCAACTCAGAACAGACCCACCCTCCCCCATCAATCCTCCAGAGGTGTACAGTTCCCACCCAAAGTACACCCCTACTTAGCCTTTACCCTAATCTGCCCGTGCTGGGGTTTGATGCTTCTCCTCACATCTACCCCAGCCCCATAATAGGATAACCCCCACTGTCTGCTCACACCCCTTTCAGGGCATTCACCCCCCACCTTGCCAAGCCCCTGCAGAACAGAGCTCACCCTTTCTATAATGCCATCCTACCAAAAGATACTCAAAACTTGAACGCAGGAGGGAATCTAAATTTTAATTTTAATGGAGAGAATGATCGCCAGAAAATTACAGAGACTTTAATACTTTGAACCATACTTGCGGCGCATTAGTGCGGTGCGCGATGCGGTGCGCTGTGCCGTGCAGAATGCGCGCGCACGTGCGCGCGCACGAGGTGCGCCATGCGCGCAGCGCATGGGGACGCGCCACCCCTGCAAGGTGCGCACTGTGCGCGATGCCTATTTTCTCTGTGTGTGTGTGTGT